ATGCTGTATGTACAGTGGGTATGGTATAGAAAACTGACATTCCTATGCTGTATGTACAGTGGGTATGGTATAGAAAACTGACATTCCTATGCTGTATGTACAGCATATCCCAAGTAACCAGAACCTTCCAAGTGGTGAGCTAACTACAGGGAGAGTAGACACAACAGATAATTTGATCTGTGTTTTTTAGTAACCACTGTGTGCCATTTGCCATGGTTCTGGATCTAAGTGAGTTTTGGACACTTGATAAACCACACAAGTTAAGGAAATGTGGAATGTAATTGGTAAACTTATTATCCATTTGTACAATGTTATAGTTAGGCTTGATACTTGTAATTATCATTACTAATCCCATGGATGTCTAATGATGATGCAACTGGCTTTATCTTTTTTCAAGTTGATAATGAAAACATTCTGTTCTAACCATAAGGACACAGTAAGTATTAGTTTCTTTCCTAAAATTAAGCTGTTTTAAACATCATTTCTTTCATAAAATCCATTCTCTCTCTGGAAACAAAAACTGAGAGAAATAATAATGGATAATAATTGAGACACTAACTTATCTACAAACAGATGATACGGAGCAATGACTCGTTACCGTAATATACTAGTGCATGCTGTTTTTTTATTTCACCTGGCACCTTAGATACCATCATCCCTAGTTACCTATGAAGCTCACATATTGTTGACCTCACTAAGTAGTATTGCATGTTCTCTGCTACCAGTATTGATATTAACCACTTAGCTTTATATAGCTTCATTCATCCAAGCTTTGGTTTTAAGTTACAGAGTGTATCATTATATAAAGAAATATTACAGAAGTGATCAGTTAAATTTTAAGAAAAGTTTTATATACGTTGTATCTGATGAACAACATATTTCAGATATTAAATTCTTTATTATATCACCCAACAGGTGGAGCTGGCCTTGTGGGATACTGCTGGCCAGGAAGACTATGACAGACTCCGTCCTCTGTCATATCCGGACACAGATGTCATCTTGATGTGTTTCAGTATTGATAGCCCAGATAGCCTAGAGAACATCCAAGAAAAGTGGACACCCGAAGTCAAGCACTTTTGTCCCAATGTCCCTCTGGTTTTGGTAGGAAACAAGAAAGATTTGCGGAATGATCCAAGCACCATCAAAGAGCTCAGCAAAATGAAGCAAGAGCCAGTCAAGCCAGAAGAAGGTCGTACTATGGCTGAAAAAATCAATGCCTTTGGTTATCTGGAATGCTCAGCAAAAACAAAAGACGGTGTACGAGAAGTGTTTGAGATGGCAACAAGAGCTGCCTTGCAGGTGAAGAAGAAGAAAAAGAAGAAGTGTGTTTTGCTTTAGGATGTCTTTTAAAGAAATCAACATTTTGTATTTGTTCCTTTTTCAAAAGTTATATAATGTCTTACTGATCATTATTCAGCCTTTAGTTTGTTTTTCAGACCAGGGTATAAATAAGAGAAAATCTGATATATATTTTAAAGTCTGCATCATGAGAGGGTTGAATTTCCTAGCATAGATGTGATGTGTATTTTTAAATTAATATATTGTCTAACAAATTATTTAATCTTGTTAGTAAATTTGGGATTTCTTGAAATTTGGAAGAAGTGCAGGAAGAAGGAGTTTACAACACCATTGAACTAAACCCTTGAAACATATAATTTTAGTTGGATTAAATTCATTTCTGGACATTTTCATTTGGAACTTTTGAGATCTTTTTATGAAGTCTTAATTATCTGTTTGTAACAATGTAGAAGCTATGAATTAAACCATAGACAAAAAATGTTTATGTAATATTATTTTAGGCATATTAAGAACTGTAATATTTCTAACATTTTTCTATATTAACGTTAACATGAGTACAATTGCAGATTTACAAAAATATTCAAATTTAGATGAGGTAGCCCCACCTCTGAAAACTGTTGAGTTTTAAACTCATGCTGTCAACTAGATATGCAACTAAATGCTCTTTGTCTATTTCATGCATTTACCCATAATTCTCCACTCTTCTACCTTCTATATGATTTATTGTTCAAGAGTCAGTGAAACTTACAGAAACTTTGCTTTCCTGCAATAACTTAGATTTTTTTTGTTGCCAATTGTGCTATTATGATGTTCTTTCTGACAGCTGTTTGATATCATCAAACTTTCTGTACCATTGTTGAAGCCTTATGTCTGTAAGTTTCTGAGTGTCCATGTTGTTATTGTAAATGCTTAATTTGCAGTAATAATTTTACCAACGATTTCTAATGTTACTGATGAGTACATTAATGTATGTACCCCCTTCTTTTTTCTTTGTTTATTGAAGGTTATTTTTCCTCAGACTGTATTATTTTCAGTATCTACAGAGCTGGTTTTGTACATTTTCTCCTTTTCTTTATTTACTGAAGGTTATTTTTCCTCAGACTGTATTATCTTCAGTGTCTATGGAGCTGATTTTGTACATCTTCCTCTCTTTGTTTATTGAAGGTTATTTTTATTCAGACCTTATTATCTTCAGTGTCTACAGAGCTGGTTTTGTACATCTTCCTCTTTTCTTTATTTATTGAAGGTTATTTTTCCTCAGACCTTATTATCTTCAGTGTCTTCAGAGCTGGTTTTGTACATCTTCCTCTTTTCTTTGTTTATTGAAGGTTATTTTTCCTCAGACTGTATTATCTTCAGTGTCTTCAGAGCTGGTTTTGTACTATCTTCCTCTTTTCTTTGTTTATTGAAGGTTATTTTTCCTCAGACCTTATTATATTCAGTGTCCACACAGCTGGTTTTGTACATCTTCCTCTTTTCTTTGTTTATTGATGGTTATTTTTCCTCAAACTCTATTATCTTCAGTGTCTACTGTACTGGTTTTGTACATCTTCCTCATTTCTTTGTTTATTGAAGGTTATTTTTCCTCAGATTGTGTAATCTTCAGTGTCTATGGAGCTGATTTTGTACATCTTCCTCATCTCTGTTTATTGATGGTTATTTTTCCTCAAACTCTATTATCTTCAGTGTCTACTGAGCTGGTTTTGTACATCTTCCTCATTTCTTTGTTTATTGAAGGTTATTTTTCCTCAGATTGTGTAATCTTCAGCGTCTATGGAGCTGATTTTGTACATCTTCCTCATTTCTTTGTTTATTGAAGGTTATTTTTACTCAGACCTTATTATCTTCAGTGTCTATGGAGCTGATTTTGTACATCTTCCTCATTTCTTTGTTTATTGAAGGTTATTTTTCCTCAGATTGTATTATCTCCATTGTCTCCAGAGCTGTTTTTGTTTGCTAATGTGCTAGCCCTCATCTTGTTCACACTTCTACTGGTCTCATTTTGTCTTCAATATCTGCAAAGCTGGTTTTATCTTCTACTGTGCTAGCCCTAATCTTGATGACACTTCTGCTGATCTTATTTCTTTTGCTCTCAGGTGTTTTTTATCTTTTCAGTGTTGGACATATTTTAGTTTCACCTGAGCATGCATGTGATTTCCTTGTGTATTATGATACTAGCTCCAGATTATTTCTCCCACCTTCTCATGATGCTGTGGTTGTTATACTTGATCTGTATTATTTCTCCCACTCATGATGCTGTGGTTGTGATACTAGCTCTGTATTATTTCTCCCACTTTGTCATGATGCTGTGGTTGTTATACTTGATCTGTATTATTTCTCCCACTCATGATGCTGTGGTTGGGATACTAGCTCTGTATTATTTCTCCCACCTTGTCATGATGCTGTGGTTGTTATACTTGATCTGTATTATTTCTCCCACTCATGATGCTGTGGTTGGGATACTAGCTCTGTATT